AGGAAGCCACTTCAGACTGATATTCTGCAAAAGGTACAGGGATTGGACTGCTGAGGACTGGGGTAAAGTCATTTTCTCTGATGAATCCCCTTTCCGATTGTTTGTGGCATCCGGAAAAAAGCTTGTCCGGAGAAGACGAGGTGAGCGCTACCATCAGTCCTGTGTCATGCCAACAATAAAGCATCCTGAGACCATTCATGTGTGGGGTTGCTTCTCAGCCAAGGGAGTGGGCTCACTCACAATTTTGCCTAAGAACACAGCCATGAATAAAGAATGGTACCAACACTTCCTCCGAGAGCAACTTCTCCCAACCATCCAAGAACAGTTTGGTCACGAACAATGCCTTTTCCAGCATGATGGAGCACCTTGCCATAAGGCAAAGGTGATAACTAAGTGGCTCGAAGAACAAAACATTTTGGGTCCATGACCAAAACTCCCCAGACCTTAATCCCATTTGAAAACGTGTGGTCAATCCTCAAGAGGTGGGTGGACAAACAAAAACCCACAAATTCTGACAAACTCCAAGCATTGATTATGCAAGAATGGGCTGCCATCAGTCAGGATGTGACCCAGAAGTTAATTGACAACATGCCAGGGCGGATTGCAGAGGTCTTGAAAAAGAAGGGTCAACACTGCAAATATTGACTCTTTGCATAAACTTTATGTAATTGTCAATAAAAGCCTTTGACACTTATGGAATGCTTGTAATTATACTTCAGTATACCATAGTAACATCTGACAAAAATATCTAAAAACACTGAAGCAGCAAACTTTGTGAAGACCAATATTTGTGTCATTCTCAAAACCTTTGACCCCGACTGTACATACAGTGCCTTCAATACTAACCTAAATGACAGAGTGAAAAGAAGGAAGCCTGTACAGAATATAAAATATTCCAAAACATGCATCCTGTTTGCAATAAGGCACTAATGTAAAACTGCAAAAAAATTAACTTTATGTCCTGAATACAAAGAGTTATCTTTAGGGCAAATCCAACACATCACTGAGTACCACTTTTCATATTTTCAAGCATGGTGGTGGCTGCATCATGTTATGGGTATGCTTGTCATCGTCAAGGACTAGGGAGTTTTTTTGGATGAAAAGAAACGGAATTGAGCTAAGCACAGACAAAATCCTAGAGGGAAAACCTGGTTCAGTCTGCTTTCCAACAGACACTGGGAGAAAACTTCAACTTTCAGCAGGACAATAACCTAAAACACAAAACACAAGGCCAAATGTACATTGGAGTTGCTTACCAAGACGACATTGAATGTTCCTGAGTGGCCTAGTTACTGTTTTGACTTAAATCTACTTGAAATCTATGGCAAGACATGAAAATGGCTGTCTAGCAATGATCAACCACTAACTTGACAGCTTGAATAATTAAAAAAAGAATAATGTGCAAATATTGTACAATCCAGGTGTGCAAAGCTCTTAGGACTTACCCCAGAGAGACTCACAGCTGTAATCGCTGCCAAAGGTGATTCTAGCATGTATTCACTCAGGGGAGTGAATACTTATGTAAATGAGATATTTCTGTATTTCATTTTCATACATTTGCAAACTTTAATAAAAACATGTTTTCACTTTGTCATTATGGGGAATTGTGTGTAGATGGGTGAGAGAAAAAAATAATATATTTAATCAATTTTGAAGAACGTACATGTACAGTATCTTAGTTATTCCCTTTGGGTTGCTTTAGCTATATGTTCAAACTACACTAAGTGTACAAATTATTAAGAACACCTGCTCTTTCCATGACATAGACTGACCAGGTGTATCCAGGTGAAAGCTATGATCCCTTATTGATGTTTCGTGCTAAATTCACTTACATCAGTGTAGATGAAGAGGAGGAGACAGGTTAAAGAAGGATATTTAAGCCTTGAGACAATCGAGACATGGATTGTTTATGTGTGCCATTCAGAGGGTGAATGGGCAAGACAAAATATTTAAGTGCCTTTGAACGAGTGTGTCGTTCGTTTTTTATGCTCAACAGTTTCCTGTGTGTATCAAGAATGATCCACCACCCAAAGGACATCCAGTCAACGGCAGGCCAGTGGTCGAAAACGGGTCATTGATGAAAGAGGACAAAGGAGGCTGACATGAATTGTGCAGAGCAACAGACAGGCTACAGTTAGTCAACTGACAGTCAAGTACAACATTGGTGCCCAAAGACCCATAAAATAATGCACAACTCGTCATAACTTGACACGAAATGGGGTATGGCAGCCGACGACCTCACTGCAGTTGCAGTAGGCTAAGGAATGAAAACACTGGACACTGGAGAATTGGAAAATCATTGCCTGGTCTGATGAATCCCGGTTCCTGCTGTTTCACGTGGATGGAGGACTAGGGTATGGGTACATGCATCCATCATGCCACGTGTCAACATTGCAGGCTGGTGGTGGTGGTGTGATGGTGTGGGGTGTATTTTCATGGCACACATTGTGCCCATTGATAAAAGTTGAGCAACATTTGAATGCCACAGGATATCTGAACATCATTGCCAATCAGGTGCATCGCTTCATGGCAGCAGTGTACCATCTGCAAAACATTTTTCTGCAGGATAATGCCCCATGCCACAACGCTAGGATTGTATAGGAATGGAGTCCCCTGTAGCTCAGTTGGTAGAGCATGGCAGTTGCAACGCCAGGGTTGTGGGTTCGTTTCCCACGGGGGGCCAGTATGAAAATGTATGCACTCACTAACTGTAAGTCGCTCTGGATAAGAGCATCTGCTCAATGACTAAAATGTAAATTAATGGATCCACGAACATGACAGTGAATTCAGATTACTGCAGTGGCCTGCCCAGTCACCAGATCTCAATCCAATTGAGCATCTGTGGGATGAGATGGAACAAGCTATTCGAGGTAGAGATCCACTACCAGCCAACTTGACACAGCTGTGGAAAGCATTGGAGTCAACATGGGCCAGAATCCCTGTGGAACACTTTCGACACCTTGTAAAGTCCATGCCCCAACAAATTAAGGCTGTTCCTTCATAGAAGCCGCTCCTCTGTAGGGCAAAAGGGGGTGCAACTCAATATCAGGAAGGTGTTCCTAATGTTTTGTACACTGTGTCAGGAGTTGGAATCAAAATTATTTTCCAATCGTTTCGTTCTGAGCAGATCCATAATATTTTGGGTTCCAATCCACTGTTCCGACCAGCAAAATAAAGTTCTGAACCAGTTCGAACCCAACAAAAGTAACAGTTTATATCGTTCCTTTCTCTTCCTTTTCAAACCTCTGAAATCTACTTTTTTTTTAACATTTAGCTCGACATTAAATTACTTCACCAATGGATAGAGCAGCTTGCTATGGAGGGGGCAAGCTATGTGCATGCATTGTAGGGTGCGACATGCGACTGAAATTTTGCGGGTGAGGAGAGTGCTGGGCATCTTGTTGTTCTGACATGCATTATCTGAATTAGGCCCACAGAATTATACCTACGGAGGAGCGGCTTCTATGATGGAACTTTGAACTTCAGAGAGTTGGCTTAACTAGCGTTGGACCAGAGCTAGCCCTTGATCATGACTCTAAGTTCCATTACATTACACATAACGCTGCCTGGAGTTTTCAAGAGCAGAAATAAAATAAAACACTTCTTACCTTTTTGTAGGTAATAAATCCAATGTGAAACCTGATAACTACATTATCCTTAACTAGCACTGAAAAAGTGAATCCATTGTTCTCCAATTAAAAATCTCTCTCCCTAGTTTCTGAATCACGCCTGTAACGTCAGTAGCTACAGTAGACTATGCATGCTTTGAGGGGAGGGGGAGGGGCAGGGGCAGGCAGCCTACACACACACTGGCAAAGATGCTCATCGGGCAGGCAGACACTGGAATACGTTTCTGAGTGACAGTGAAGGCACTGTGTTGCATTTTCTGTCGGACTGGAAAAAATGCCCGGAACGTAAAATAACGTTATTAACCGGTTCCCATGCTTTTAAAATAACGGTTATTTTCCGGAACAGTATAGATCACTTTTGTTCTTGGTTCTGGTTCTGTTCCTTGAAAAATGTCATTATTTTCCGGATTTTGGTTCTGTTCCCTGAACCGGTTCCAACCTCTGCTCAGTGTATATAACAACTTATTTAGTATTACAACAATGTTGTGTGAATGTGATGCATTAGCATGGGTGCATTTTGGCACAATATCACCCCCATCTATGTTCCTTTCATGTTGTGTTCCTGTGCGGTGTACTTGTGCTGTACGTGGACAGTGGGCTGTGTGTTGAGTATTTGCTTTGGCCCCTGTATCGTATCATCACACAGTCATCCCCCACCCCCATCATCATCCTCCCATCATGATCTTCCTACAGCTGGAGTCCCATCACCATCTCCCCTGAGCCTTGCTTTAGCACTCTGATCTGATCTGCGAAAACACGGGTCACAGAATATGATGAGATCCAGCATCCGTTGCTACACTGATCCATGCGTTTTGATGGCAGAGGGTAGCCTTATTTCTCACGCTCCAATAATCCATGCTGGCTGGCTGACTCTGACAACTGCTGGAGAGCTCCATGGCTGAGTGCCCTGGTCCCCCTCCAGATTGCTGGTTGATGGCTGCCTGACAGGAAGTTGATTGACTGACTAGGTGGCCCCAATAGGCGTTGGAGGAAGCAGCTTTGACTGGCAGGTCAATCAGCCTCCCCGGCCCCCCAGCATGGTTAACAATTATCAGCCTGATGTGAGCAGGCCTCTCACTGCTCTGACAGGTCCTGACCTTGACTGCTGGCCGCCTTAATATTGCTTTGACTTAAACCCCAGTGGCTTTCACAGGAGCATTACTTTAATATCACCTATGGCCTGCCTCCATGATTTGGAATGTAAAGAGTTACAGATGAGAAGGTATGGATGAGTCCCTTTGAAGGAGATGACCGATGGGCTTCTTTCTCATAAGGAAATCTAAACTATAGGCTCTTGACTTCAATTCTGCTGGTGATCGTTTTAAACCCATGCCATGTAGTATCTCTCCATCCTAGTGTTTTGCACCAGTGATAAGACCGGGGTTTATTCCAATTGAACCAAAGCTTGGTGCTCGGTTAGAATGTTGGTGGGATGACAGTCATATCAATGCGCTGGAATTGCTGTGGGTAAGACTGTAGTGCTGACTAGCCTCTGTTGTCTCCCCTCCCCCTTCCTCTCCACAGCTCATAGTAGGGATCATCCAGGCAGCGGACCTTCCAGCCATGGACATGGGCGGCACCTCTGACCCCTATGTCAAGGTCTACCTGCTGCCTGACAAGAAGAAGAAGTTTGAGACCAAGGTCCACCGGAAGACCCTCAACCCCACCTTCAACGAGCAGTTCCAATTCAAGGTAGTTATTCAAGGTATAAGAGTAGACTAGACAATACTTCATCCATGCTACTCTCAAAACCTTGGCTTGTGTAGTAGTAGTAGTAGTAGTCGTAGTAGTTGTAGTTGTAGTTGTAGTTGTAGTAGTAGTAGTAGTAGTAGTAGTAGTAGAAGTAGTAGTAGTAGTAGTAGTAGTAGTAGTAAAGGAATAGGACAAATACACAAACCACACATTGCACACAGTAGTTTAAGCAGGTTGTGTTTATTCGTTCTATACTGACAAAGTCATTTGCATCCTGTGGTGTGATCGCTCGGTAAGGTGTGTAGACACGGAGTAGCTGGCCCAGTAACAAGTTGCTGACAGACTGTCTCTTCGTCCACACAGCCTCTGTATGATTAGGATTCACACAGGCAGATGCAACGCTCCATCTCACCTTTTTCTCTCTCTTTTTCTTGTTTTGATTTGGCCTAAATTTGAGCAAACGTTTCTCAGTTTCGGATATGTGATTGTAGCTACAGTATCTCAGCTGTGGAGGAAGAGTTGTGGCATCACCCAGCAGTAAAAAGAGCACAGGTGTTTGTCTGCAGCAGTTGCCAGATTGGTTAACCAGTAGCATCATTATTTTGGAATTCAGAAAACATGGTAGATCTGTGAACCTTTATTTATCCCACCGGCGCCTACTTGTAATCACAAGTGGCTCCATTATTGAAATGAAGGAGCAAGGAGTATTCTTTGGTCATGGTGATGATAGTGTCAAGGACAAACTTCGGAAGTCTTATCTCTTTTCTAGCCAATCAGGCAGTCCCGGTGTATAATGAGCTTTGTCTGGAGAACAGCTCAATTGGAGGCAATCAAGAATCAAATCCCAGACACCACCCTTCTCCCCCCCCCATCCCCTCTTCACCATCCCCTCCACCAGCACCCCTTCCTTCACCCCAGATCTCTGGCAGATAAGAGTGACTACCGCCTGTCCGTCACAGACAGGACTTGAGGAGGAAGGAGAGGAGGAGGAGGGGGTTTGATTGATTTGTAATGCTCTAGACCTAGAACTTCCCCAACTCGAGACGACTCCTCTCTATTACTTGACAAGCAATACCAGTGCCTGGGAGTAGCAGGACAGATACAGTGCAACCTGCTTTGATGCAGTGTGCCAATCTGGCAGCCATTTTGGAAAGCACCACTATCACCACTATGCTAGTACAGTTGTCAACAATAGACTACTTCGATTTATCCGTAGTTTGAGATCAGTAAGTTCCACCAGAAGTCACTTCATTAGAGATAGGTTTCAAGTTCGGTCAAACTCTCTTCTCGTGGTTCTATGCATAATTTCAGTCCTCATGGTTCTCCCCAGGTGCCCTACGTCGAGCTGGGAGGCAAGACGCTGATGATGACGGTGTATGACTTTGACCGCTTCTCCAAGCACGACGCCATCGGAGACGTGAAGCTGCCCATGAACAAGATTGACTTTAGTCACGTGACAGAGGAGTGGCGGGATCTTGTGAGCGCCGAGAAGGAGGAGGTAAATAATAACTCTAAAAGTTCACACATCAGAAACTCCTGATATTTTCTTCCCCAAAGTTACGACAGTTGACTACCAGGATGTGTTAGCACCAAGGTAACAGTTCATTTCTAGAAAATCCACGATCCGGCATTTTTAATGAAACATTTTATTACACAACAATCTTATGACTATGTTAAACATGTTTTACCTGGGATTGAAGAGTGAGCTCAGTGCCATACAGTAGTTGGGGGTATTCCATATCTCTTGGAAAATGTCACTTAGTTATCCCTCCATGCTTCTCATTCTGTTAATAACGTGTGATTTCCCAAGCAGTGGTGCAGGAGATTAAATGTTCAAGGTAAATGTCATGGCGTACAGCATTTAAGCGTGGGTTGCTAGGGGAACCTTGTTTTTAATGGCATGCTTGGTTCATATAAATGTACATTTTCATACCTGTGGTGCCAGAGAGTGGAAGGGCATCTCAATCTGCAGCGTTATTTCAGAACCAGACAAGCTACACCTGATAATTTCACGCAAGGCTGGAGACACTGTCTTAACGCCCTTAAAGTGTTACAGTCGCTCAATTGAGTGGGCTTTCGCTGAAGGACCTTGAAATGTTTTGATTTGATTTGAAAAGGCCACTTTCACCATCGTGAGCACCATTTTAAATACTATATGATTATACAAATGTTGAAATGTGATCATTATGTGAAAACTTTAAGGATAATGTGACACACCAAGCAACTTCTGTGGGTGTATAAGAGACAATAGGGTCAAGAAGAAGTTCCTGTCCTCATTGAAGGTGTGTAACAGTGACTGAAAGGAATGTTTCACACATCAGCCATGCCTCAGTGGCTGCAAATTACACCCAACGAGGTCCTAGCGGCTAGCCAGAGATCCTCTGAACAGCCCAACCACTAGTCTGGTCCCAGATCTGTTTGCCAACTCCTTTTTCTCCCCATACATGTACATGTTTGGCACGACCACACTAGACTAAGGGCAAAGTAGGTCCTTCAGAATGGTTCCAATATCCACTCCAAATTGATGGACACATTACCCATATCTATGCAAATATATGCATGCAGGGTATTATTTAAGCAATAAGCAATAAGGCCTGAGGAGGTGTGGTATATGGCCAATATACCACGACTAAGGGCTGTTCTTATGCACGACGCAAAGCGGAGTGCCTGGGCACAGCCCTTAACCGTGGTATATTGGCCATATACCACAAACCCCTGAGGTGCCTTATTGCTATTATAAACTGGTTACACACGTAATTAGAACAGTCATTTTTAACAGTTTTTACTGTTCTAATTACGTGTGTAACCAGTTTATAATAGCAATAAGGCACCTCGGGGGTTTGTGGTATATGGCCAATATTGATTGTGGTATATGGCCGTTTCTGATTGGCTTGAAGGGCATTCTAGAGCATGCATTATTTCCCTATAATGCACGGTATATTAGCACTGTAGAATTCAATGGCTATTTCATTCTTATATGTTCTATGTTTGAGCTGCTTTTGAAAGCAGATGTCGAATTGAAAACATTGTTGAATTCGATTTTCATAATAGTAAGCTAGGACTGATGGTTTGGTTAGCTAAACTAGCGAGTCTGTTTGTTGGGTTACCAAGGCAACTACTGTCGCTATCTAGTAAACTTGCTAGCTACTTCAGTGGATGTTGAACACATTTCTACCTGCAAATGAACAATTTGTATTGGCAAATGTGTGAAATTATAGCCATGGTATGAAAGGGATAATCAACTCAGAGCTCTATGCGCTCTCTGGAAAATAATGCAACTCAATGGAAGGTCAGTTGCACGCCGCTAGCGCGTCGTGGAACACACCTTCCACGTCGTTCATTATTTTCCACAGAGCGCATAGCCCCTCGTTGATTAACCCTTACATATACAGTCGGTCTGTGGTAAAGATAATATGGCGGCATTCTGTTCACATAACTTTAAAATGAGGTCAAACACTGCCAGAATAATAGATGGAATCCAGATGAATTCAGATGGAATCCAATCTTTTTTAAGCGACACATGATCAACATATCAGGGTGTTTCATAATTTGTTTGTTTCCACCGTGTATTCTTCTAGAAATAAAGGTTACTTACAATGGCGTCTGTTGTCGAGAAGAAAAGTGATGCGGTGACAATTGGATTTACCTGCGAACGTGCTTTGAAAAAACACACCCATATTCACTGACCATGCATTTTATTAGCTACAAAATGTTAGACTCATCCTCGTAGGTTGTGTGACAGTGTTAACATAGCGAAAACAACCTCATCCTGGCGGGTCAAACATGCTCTCGGCAGTGGAGGGTCTAGCAGCTCAAAAAACAGTGCTGGCCTTTCTCAGTTATTTATGGATATATTAGACCGTGATGGCTTCATACAAGCATGATTTACAGTGGGGGAAAAAAGTATTTAGTTAGCCACCAATTGTGCAAGTTCTCCCACTTAAAAAGATGAGAGAGGCCTGTAATTTTCATCATATGTACACGTCAACTATGTCAGACAAATTGAGAGAGAAAAATTCAAGAAAATCACACTGTAGGATTTTTAATGAATTTATTTGCAAATTATGGTTGAAAATAAGTATTTGGTCACCTACAAACAAGCAAGATTTCTGGCTCTCACAGACCTGTAACTTCTTCTTTAAGAGGCTCCTCTGTCCTCCACTCATTACCTGTATTAATGGCACCTGTTTGAACTTGTTATCAGTATAAAAGACACCTGTCCTCAACCTCAAACAGTCACACTCCAAACTCCACTATGGCCAAGACCAAAGAGCTGTCAAAGGACACCAGAAACAAAATTGTAGACCTGCACCAGGCTGGGAAGACTGAATCTGCAATAGGTAAGCAGCTTGGTTTGAAGAAATCAACTGTGGGAGCAATTATTAGGAAATGGAAGACATACAAGACCACTGATAATCTCCCTCGATCTGGGGCTCCACGCAAGATCTCACCCCGTGGGGTCAAAATGATCACAAGAACGGTGAGCAAAAATCCCAGAACCACACGGGGGGACCTAGTGAATGACCTGCAGAGAGCTGGGACCAAAGTAACAAAGCCTACCATCAGTAACACACTACGCCGCCAGGGACTCAAATCCTGCAGTGCGAGACGTGTCCCCCTGCTTAAGCCAGTACATGTCCAGGCCCGTCTGAAGTTTGCTAGAGTGCATTTGGATGATCCAGAAGAGGATTGGGAGAATGTCATATGGTCAGATGAAACCAAAATATAACTTTTTGGTAAAAACTCAACTCGTCGTGTTTGGAGGACAAAGAATGCTGAGTTGCATCCAAAGAACACCATACCTACTGTGAAGCATGGGGGTGGAAACATCATGCTTTGGGGTTGTTTTTCTGCAAAGGGACCAGGACGACTGATCCGTGTAAAGGAAAGAATGAATGGGGCCATGTATCGTGAGATTTTGAGTGAAAACCTCCTTCCATCAGCAAGGGCATTGAAGATGAAACGTGGCTGGGTCTTTCAGCATGACAATGATCCCAAACACACCGCCCGGGCAACGAAGGAGTGGCTTCGTAAGAAGCATTTCAAGGTCCTGTTGTGGCCTAGCCAGTCTCCAGATCTCAACCCCATAGAAAATCTTTGGAGGGAGTTGAAAGTCCGTGTTGCCCAGCGACTGCCCCAAAACATCATTGCTCTAGAGGAGATCTGCATGGAGGAATGGGCCAAAATACCAGCAACAGTGTGTGAAAACCTTGTGAAGACTTACAGAAAACATTTGACCTGTGTCATTGCCAACAAAGGGTATATAACAAAGTATTGAGAAACTTTTGTTATTGACCAAATACTTATTTTCAACCATAATTTGCAAATAAATTCATTAAAAATCCTACAATGTGATTTTCTGGAATTTTTTTTCTCATTTTGTCTGTCATAGTTGACGTGTACCTATGATGAAAATTACAGGCCTCTCTCATCTTTTTAAGTGGGAGAACTTGCACAATTGGTGGCTGACTAAATACTTTTTTCCCCACTGTATATCAGTGTTTTCTTTTCTCAGTCTCTCTGCCCACGCCTCCCCAGGAGGAGTGTGTATTTATGTTGGATGAAGCTGGAACCTCAGTCATTAAAGTGAGAGTCTATTTAGTCCCGTCGGCTCTGGGCTGAGTGTACAGGCCAGGCACAGCTAGATACACTGACTGAGTAATGGCAACCCAGGCTGAGAAGAAACCTGCCCCATATACAACTCACATCTGGCAACCTTATTACAATCTCATCACATATATTTAGTTTTAGGGAATAGGTCTTGATTCTAATTTGATGAAAGACCTCTGGTATATAAAGCAATAATCAGTCTTCGGGCCTCCTTGGCCATTGATTTATGATGTGTATTCATAATGGCTGTCTCCAATCATCTGCTGGTTAGACCTGGGACACTTATTGAGCGCCAGACTGTTCTACTTGTTAATATGGGTAATGTCAGAAATATGTATCCCATTTTTAATCTGTTCACTCTGTGATTACCATTATTTATTTATATGTTGATGTGCATGACACAAGGGAATGATTGATGAAGTTCTGGCTCTCAACAGCTATAACCTCAACCAACTACCCCTACAACAGGGGTGCCCCCCAACTACATTCAGCCGCGGCCCGTTTTGTTCTTGAGTGGATGGTCGGGGGGCCCGAATATAATTACAAATAATTTGCTAAATTGACCGCAAGAAGCCCAAACAGATACTGTGTAATATATGACTAAAACATAATCATTTCAAACCTTGATTACATTGGGATATGATCACATTATGCGTATGAATACTTGGGAACAGATCTCCTAAAGTAAAATCACTTGGAGCTGATTTCCTGGTGTTTTGTTACAGTATTTTATATCCCCACCCCCCCCCAAAAAAAGAAATTGCTCAGAAGTAAAATAATGTAATAATAATAATATGCCATTTAGCAGACGCTTTTATCCAAAGCGACTTACAGTCATGTGTGCATACATTTTTACGTATGGGTGGTCCCGGGGATCGAACCCACTACCCTGGCGTTACAAGCGCCATGCTCTACCAATTGAGCTACAAAAATCACCCAAGGGCCAAATTCGGCTTGGGGAACCCTGCCCTACAAAGATATGGGAAAACAGAATCCATGTGAAAGCATGATAGCTTTTAGACAGACAAGACAACACTCCCAAACCATGTTTCACTTCAGCAGACAACTTCATCCTTATTCCTAGCTATGGTCATGACTCCTCTCTCTCTCTCCTCTCACAGCAAGAGAAGCTGGGTGATATCTGCTTCTCCCTGCGATACGTGCCCACCGCCGGCAAGCTGACCGTGGTCATCCTGGAGGCCAAGAACCTGAAGAAGATGGATGTGGGAGGCTTGTCAGGTGAGCAGAGCAGAGCTGAGGGCCACAACAGACGCCTGAGGGCCACAATAAGGATGGCCAAGCAGGATGATTGACAGCCAGGGGGCCTAAGATGGTAGTAAGGCATTTTACCTCCAGACCTGCTCTCACCTGTGTCATGTCCACTCAATAGGAGGGGCTGTCATTTTGAAACCCTCAGTCAAAGCCACACTCACTCTCTGGTAATGAATGCTTTCAGGGTGTTATGTATTAGAAACCATTGTTTTGCCCTCTCCCCTCTCTGTGCTGTTCTAGTGTTTTTGCTGAAGGCTTGGTGAGTCATTGTGGGGCCCAGTGTTTTGTCAGGGTGGACTTTGGGGAAATTGGTGTCTGTTGGAGACATTGAGCTCTGATTGTGCGGTGCTTTCACTCCCCACTGGCTTTCCACACGACATGCTCATCTTTTGTCTAAGAAAATGCATCTTGGGCAGCAATCACTTTAGTCTCTCCTATCTTCCTGCAGCTATTTCTCTCAAACAATAACAGTCCCCTACCAATCATTGCCCATCCTTATATCGGCAGTAGAAAACAGATAGCATCTGAAGTGACTAATTTATATCTAAACTCTCCCTCCAAAATGTATTACCAAGCCAAACATGTGCTGTGGACATCAATAGAAATTGCATTTTGTCCTCCAGAATAATGCCAATGTGAAGGCCGCGGGTGATGCCAACAGAACACGTGTTTAGACCCAGGTACTCCAGGGATCAGTGGTGTGGGTGGTAGTTAAAGGGCTCCACTGTGCAGACCTGCTGTTGTGTGGGAGAAAATACACATGGACAGTAATGATTGCAGTGGGCAGTAATGAACACCCTGCTTTATGTTGAGGGGAGATCCCATAGGGACTACAATAAAAAAAAGCTTTGGAAAGTCACCTGGCCATTGTGGCCATTGTTCACTAATGCACTTGTAGAGGCTCATAGATAGAAAACATTTCTAATGAATTGACCAACTCTGAAAAGCAAGCCTGACGCCATGGTAACAGAATGTTCCATTTGCGATTGTGACCACGCATGCACGCAAGCACACACACATGTGCAGGTGTTTGTGTATTACAGAGAGTAATCCATCTAGTTTTCGTTGCTGCACCGCTCAGAGAGAAGCAAAGAAATCTCATTTTCTTAACCTCTGCTCTTTCCTCTGGGAAGGAGGGCTATATGGGTGCGGACCCCTTCTAGCAAGCAGAGCCAGCTGTGTGTATTTCCTGTATGGTCCTCGCAATTTGGGCCATTCAGGAGTTAGAAATAGGAGCCCACCTGAACCATTCATCCCTCCACCCCTACAAAGAGCCCCCCCCCCCCAATCCCCTATCCTCCTCTTCCTCCCTGTCCTTCCTCCTCACCCTAACCCTCTCCAGGCTGCAGTTACCATGCATCTAGTCCATTCTCCCCACCTCCCCGTTCTCCCCACCTCCCCCGCATCAGTGCCTGACTTACCTAACAGAACCGCTACCTCACTCTAACAACCCAGGACCTTCCCTCATCTGTCAGAGTAGTGTGCCTGGTAGCCATTAGCCAGAACCCATGCCTCCCCGCTGGTATTTTCCACTCGTCGCATTAGCTCTCATCTGTCGTCATTTGCATCATGGGATTGGCCACATCCTAAACTGTCAATCAAGCTGATGAGGTAATAGATGGGAGGCAGTTTGAAGGCCAGGCGGTTACTGTGAGAAACTAATTCAGAAGGAAAGTGGTTAGGAAGGATGGCTGGGCTTGACATGCAATATGCCAGGGGTAATTGGTGCATGGTTTATCTAGTGTGTTTAAAAGGTCAAAGCGGAGCAAAGTCTGGGGATTTCAGGTTAAATTATTAACGTATGGTAATAGCATGTTTTTCATCTCAGTTGCCATTGGATTCAAGGCTCCGAACTATGATTTCCATTTTAATAGCGCATTAGACTGGCTACACAGTTGTGTGTGGGTCTGTGTGTTGGTGTGTGTGTTGCATGTGTCAGAGTGTGTTAGTGTGTGTGTGCATGGATGTCTCTCTTTGCATACTCATATGAGCATACTGTATCATAAAACTTGTAAGAGGATAACATGATTTCTAGCCAATGGCTTCTAGCCATCCCAATACGCTATTGGCACATCATTTCTTTCTAATCTATCCAATTGGTAAAGTACATAACACTCTCACCTGGGTTTTATCTGTTTGAAAAATCCACAGAGGGAATGAGAATTATAGGAGCTATTGTTCGACTTTCATGTTCCCCATTGAAGTCCCAAACAGTAGGCTAGATAACAGGCATCTTGTTCCCACTCACACAGCTTATTTGGATGCTCATGTTTTTGAAGTCAACTGAACAATGAACAAGGTAGTGAAGCTGAACACCATGACAGCAATTTTACCTTTTTTAAATGTTATCAGAAAATTGAATTGAAGAATAGCTTGTGCTTGGCTTGTTTTGTTCAAGTTTTGAAAGAGAGTGTTGTCATTCCTTTTGAAAGGAGCCAATACACTGGTATCTCTCTCTCTCCGCCTCTGGGTTTGACTAACCAAATAAACAAATACCAAACAAGCATTAGGGCAGAAAATATTGTTTTTGGACACCTGTACCTGACAAAATGTTGTTCCAATTCAGTTTTTCTAACAAGATATGGCAGAGTACTATATCTCAGTTAGCCCATTGTTTGAAGAGGCAACTTCTTCAGAAGTGTCTTTCTGTCAAGAGAATAGACGTCAAAGCCTGGCAGATAGATGAAATAACAGGCATGTATATAATAACAATAATTAGTGACTATCTCACATCGTGACACAGCCAGAACTGGAAGAGGAGGACAAGTAATTGATGGCCTGGGATTGGTCCTTTTCTCCGCTGCTGTCCTGTTTATCGAGCCTAATTATTGCTCAGCAAACGAGACACCGCTAATTTCATTAAAATATGTATAATTATTCATAATTATTCTGATTGCCCCAAAGAATCATAACAGCCAGAATCGCTGTATCATGCTGTGCAGCAAACTTGTTTCAAACATTTTTAAAAGAGCACCTAATCTAATCATCGACAAAAGTTCTCAGCTGAGCCACTCCTGAATCACAGTGGAAGGTTTATTTTAACAGAACTACACTACCGGTCAAAAGTTTTTTTTTTTTTTTTTTTACTATTTTCTACATTGTAGAATAATAGTGAATACATCAAACTACGAAATAACACATATGGAATCATGTAGTAACCAAAAAAAGTGTTAAACAAATCAAAATATATTTTATATTTGAGATTCTTCAAATAGCCACCCTTTGCCTTGATGACAGCTTTGCACACGCTTGGCATTCTCTCAACCAGCTTCATGATGTAGTCAGCTGGAATGCATTTCAATTAACAGGTGTGCCTTCTTAAAAGTTAATTTATTGTATATCCCAGGAGGGACTTATAATACAGCACATACCATGCAATGCATCGCAGGCAAGATACTTGCGTCTTTCTCATCATCTCTGCTGAAGATGTACAGGTAACCTGTATTATAGACTCAAGGTGAGTCCCTATATTTAACTACAGTATATACTGTGACAATGGAACAACTCTCGCTAGTATGACTCACCACAGGAGAGCGCTCCAGCAGGGCTCTTCACTGGCTGTGTGCGGCACTGTGATAACGGCCTATTTCTATGGGTGAAGTATGTAGACCATGTCCCCTCACATAAAAGGTGTACAAGTGTGTAGAAGCATGGAAGAGAACTCAGCGCCACTGCTGCCAACCTACATACAGTGACGTAAATCAAGAGCCAATCAAATCTGTGGTGGTAAATAACATAGTGCTATAGAATAGTATCAGTGTTGCATACAGAAGCACCGTGGAGGTTACTGGAGGATGAGTACATGCTTGTTAAGATAATGGATGTACTATCTCCACTGTGCCACCTCCCCCCCCCCCCCCCCCTCTCTCTCTCTACCTCTCTCTCTCTCGCTCTCTCGCTCTCTCTCAGTCACAGTGGATAGTGAGGCTGTTCATAACAGGATAATGGACCTTCTCAGTGAGGAGGTTATCACATCAACCAGTCCTCTAGTATTAATGAACCTGCACTGTCCTCACCCAGTGCTCCCACACCGCTCAACACCACACCACACCGCACACCATCAAGCCTCTCGGCTGGAGACCATATTATTTGTTTTGTTTCTCATGCATACTGCCCAGTTGATTAAGGGAGCTCCAGGTTCACAGTGCCACTCCAGTTACTTACACAGCCAAGGTGTGGAAAGCAATGAGGCCAGGTGCTATTATAATGATGAATGAATGGAAAACCAATTTGGTTGTGATTAGGGAAATGCAGAAGTTTGGAAGTGTGTATGTGTGCGCGTGTGTGTGCGTGCACATGCGCATGTGTGTGTGTACGGCATGTGTGAGTTTTCCATGCTCTGTGTGTGTCTGTGGTGTGTGTGCGCCGTAGTGGAGTTGCGTGCGAATAATTCATGTCAAATCCAAGTCTGTAAAACTGAGATGACAGTGGGGCCCTGCATGCCCCTCCTCCACGGCCCATCCAGAACGATGGGAGGGAAACTAAACTAAGATGACAGCTAAGCTATATTTAACCTGCTTGAGTTGATGTTCGTTCAACATCTCGTACACAGCCCCCGCAAGCCAACACACAGCACGCTCGAGTAAGCAGCCAACGTTTACTAGCGGCTTTCGGTTTTTACCGCTTGGTCTTCTTACGCTCAATAGACTAATTATGATTGGCATTGATTGCTATTCTCTTTCACTAAGGCCTATAATCCGAAGTAAACAGCAATGACTAGCTATCGACAATCTTAAAGCCTAGATCTTAGAGCTTCTGTTGAATCTGACGGGTGAATACACAGTAACGCTGACATAGTCTCGTAACGGTAGGAATGAATATAATGTATTTGTTTTGGATGCACACACTGTCATGTTAAAAGGTCCTCTGTCATCTGTTTGTCACAGAGCCAGCTGGGATAGAGAAGGTCCTGTTGTGGCTGCTGCTCTGACAGATCGTATGGGACAGGTGCCTGCATTGTCTCCTCCACAAACACCTGCAGCCGACGTCGCTCATGTCCTCCCCGTTAGTCACTTCTCCACACATCTGCTACTTCCTGTTCACGGGGAAGGGAGGGAGACTCTTTATAAATGGGCACAGCATCTTTTCATAATACCCCGGCCCATTGCCAGTGAACCAGATGAGTGACTGTCACGCTTGCGGCAAGGATCTGCCTCCGTATACCAAAGTGTAGACAGACACAGCGGACGGAGACAGCGCTCTCTCTCTCTCTCTCTCTCTCTCTCTTTGCAACAGGTGCATCACATCAGCTGCCGCGGCCACTCATCCACAAAATGGGCAGAGATTAGAGCTGTCTGGGACGAGACGCCGAAATGAGCCGGATATGAGTTGGGGTGCGTCGCCCGCCAAAACCCAATAATACTGGAAGCGAGATAAGAAGAGTCTGGGTAGAATAGGGCTGAAAGCCACGGGACACCACAGGTGTTTTTCTAATGGTGGAGGGATAGGTTATCTGTGATAACCCTGTCTGGTTATTGTTGTTGTTGTGTGTATTCAGCCTCAGTCTCTAAGGATAGGGGGATTCATTTATCCAGTGCTGGTCATTCAGGGCCAGGCCCAGGCCTGTGTGGATGGTCAAGAGGAGGCAGAGGCAGCCAAATATACGGTTGGAATGGGAAGGAGTTGGAATTTATCTACATGGTTGTGAATGTGAGGTCTTTTTTATACAGAGATAAAAGATTTCTGCGCAGGTTCAAGACTGTTGCAACTGATGATCATGAGCAGGGTTGAAGAAATACAGGGGTGTGTGAATGACTGCCTGTGTGCGTTACAGCTTTCACAGCCATGTATCAGGATCTGAAGCAGCAGGATCTGTTATCGGTCTGCTTTGACAGTCCCAACAAAGGCGATTGAGCCTAACCTCCACAGAGACCTTGGGGACCATACTTAGGTCATCCACAAACTTCCCCCATTAACTTCCAACCATTACCTAGTAGAAAAGCTTCCTATCAGTGTCAGCAGCAAAGGTGTAGAAGTCTGATTGTTTGTAATCGGCTCTCTCATGACACATCTTTAGTTTCCTACAGGGACATTAGTAGAACCTATAAAGGAGGGAACTTGGCTGAAAATAATTCACTGCACACTACAAAGAAGAAAGAGAAAAAACAGTAAAGGGGTTGTTGATAGAAGAGTCTGATAGAAAGTCCTAATACGGCTATGTGATGCTCACAGTCTGACACTGAAGAAGATTCCCATTTAGATACTGCTGGGCCTATTCACTAACACACACACCTCTCATCCTACTGCTGGGCCTATTCACTAACACACACACACACCTCTCATCCTACTGCTGGGCCTATTCACTGACACACACACACCTCTCATCCTACTGCTGGGCCTATTCACTAACACACACACACCTCTCATTCTACTGCTGGGCCTATTCACTAACACACACACCTCTCATCCTACTGCTGGGCCTATTCACTAACACACACACACACCTCTCATTCTACTGCTGGGCCTATTCACTAACACACACACACCTCTAATTCTACTGCTGGGCCTATTCACTAACACACACACACCTCTCATCCTACTGCTGGGCCTATTCACTATCACACACACCTCTCATCCTACTGCTGGGCCTATTCACTAACACACACACACACCTCTCATTCTACTGCTGGGCCTATTCACTAACACACACACACCTCTCATTCTACTGCTGGGCTGCATTCTCTTTCTCTCTCTCTATTTCTCTCTCTCTTTGTTCTTTCTGTTCTCTCCATTCTGGCCTTTCACTCTCTCGCTCCGTTCACTCAGTTCTCTCTGTCTTTCTCTCTTTCCCTCTGTCCATTGCCTTTCTTTCTCTCTTTTTCATTCTGTCTGTTCTGCTTCTCTTTTTCTCTGTCTCTTAATGTACACTGCGCGCACAACTATGGGATGAGCCTGCCAGTGAGCAATCAGCTCTTACAGATGTAGGATCTTAATTTGAGCCAGTTTTCCACAGCTGGAAAATAATCCTGCAGCAACAGGAAATGTGAATTATTATGTGGATTATAATTAATGAACATTTTTGTAGGGGTTGATCCATTTTTCGTTAAGGCAAATCAAGTCTGAAATTTTAAAGTGGCAATTACAAACTTTAGAAGCCTTTTTAAAACTCAAATACACTACAAGTTTGCGTTTCCTGCTGTGTAGGAACATTCTCAGCAACAAAAGAGTGATCAAATTAAGATCCTACATCTGTAGTCTATCACTCTAAATTGGATAACAGATGTTTGCCATTGCTTTTTTCAATGTTTGCCACTACTAGGAATCCCACAGATGTTCCACAGTCAAAACTGTCTTTTCCAGCCAAAAGCCCAATAAAGGCATCTGGGAACCAGCAGTATATTAGAACAAGAGAGCATTATGAGGATTGATACTGATGCCTTGCTTCATTGATCCATTACCATGCTGGTGCTCAGTTGTAACTACCATCCTTTCCCTTAATGTTATTGGTCGTTTAGCCCAATTACCATGCCATATCCTATTCTATTTATTTGTGTTTGTTGATCCTAGAACCAACAAACGCTGTCTCGTCTTGAAAGATAAATGGCGTAACCTGTTTTCATTAAGATAAGTCTGTCTACTATCTAGCTCAAATTGGTTTCAATGGCAGTCCATTACCAAGGCTCATTAGCTTTCCAAAACTCAAGCGTCTTGTCTCAAACAGGGTGCCACTCCTCTCCCTCCTCTCCCCCTCCACTTCCCACTTGTCATTAGCATTCAGGAGGAGTAAACAAATCCGGAGTGCGAGCCATGCTAGTCCAACGTCCTGAATGCCAATGATAAAGCAGGAAGGCTGATGGGTGAGTCTGCATCTTTTACTGGTCCTCTTGACCTGATTACCAGAGAGAGGGGGGCCACAGGGCCAACCACAGCAGGCCCACTCTGGAGAGGCTTGGAGTTGTCATTATTGGGGAACGGAAATGAGGCCCTCCAGTGAAAGTGCTTCTGTAGGCGAAAACATGAGCCACTTGAAAAAGAAGCGAAATTCTATTCATAGAAATTGTGCGCAACTCTGTTTCTCTTGCATATGATTTGAAATGGGTTTGTAAGTACGGTGAACGTTATCAGACGATAAATCAAAAGAAACGGACCGACAAGGTGTGACTATAACATATGAGTGCATATACACCAGAAAGGGAGGGTGTATATGCCTTGTGGCAGTAGGTTCTAACCTGGCCCTCTCTTCTTTCCTCAGATCCCTACGTGAAGATCCACCTGATGCAGAACGGGAAAAGGCTGAAGAAGAAGAAGACGACAATCAAGAAGAACACCCTCAACCCTTACTACAACGAGTCCTTCAGCTTTGAAGTGCCATTTGAACAAATCCAGGTAATGGTGTTGTACATCCCCATGTCTTGGGAGTTCTCCATGTTGTTGAAGCTTTAAGGGTAGATCTAATTGATCTCAGTCATAAAGCACCAAGTCAAGTTTTTTTAAAGGATACTTAAACTAAGACTTTGAGCCAACACCGAGACAGGAGATTGTGTTCACAGCTTGTGGCTACTAAGAGTGATTGTCGTAGAAATATTTGATTCAAAAGTAGTTAACTCAAAAATATCTCTCAAGAAACTGGAGCTTGTGAATCCAAAAATTAGACTTTATTATTGCGTAACAAAGCCGAGCTGCTCCATGGAGCAGCTGCTTGTCCTTGGCTTAAAAATCTCCTTTTATACACATACAAATGCATAGTCATGCTTACATAGAATATATAGTTACTCCTCCTAAGATAAATGATTAACATCTGTCACTGTCACGCCACCGTTACCTTTCAAAGTCCAATAACACATGTTGTTTACTCTTACAAGAGCTACGTGCGCTTTCCAGTTGAGGCCTCTTTCCCTTATCTCTTTATATTGGTGGTGTGACTCAGACACTTTCTTAAAAAATAAGATACATACATTGATTAAAGCATGGTTACACACTGTATTGGCTATATTCCATATTTAGACATACATCTGGATTATAAAAATGTCAATCATGTTTACTATATTTTACCTTTGACATTTCCCAACATTTTGCCTTAATGATACATAATTTATTTCCATATATTCCCCCCTTTGGGACTTCCAATAAAGTCCCAATAATTCAAAGATTAATTTTAAATGAATGTAAGCCTGTGCATTTACTTATTCTTAGCCTTGCCATATGTGGTTACATTTTATATGCATATATTTAAACCAATATATCTTCCTCATTGTTTGACCCATCCTGATGAGGACCCAGAGCCCAGTCAGGTATTGGATACAAGTCTGAAAGGTTTTCCTCTACATTAACCTCCAAGTTTTCCTGTTGGGCTTTGTAACCATGGCAGGCCCATCCTCCCCCAGGAACAACACCATACAGACATTCAGGATTCCCAAATGGACAGTCCATTGGTCCTCCTTTAATATTACAAGGTTTCCCATATTCATTAACATACTGTCCTGGAGCTCCCTGAACTGGGTGTATTTCTTTGGCTGAACTAGTAACAATGGTCTGTACAGTCATTTGTTTTGCTGTGGTTTGAATCAAAAGTGATTTTAACAGAGGTAGTATACAACAAAACACTATTCCCATCACTACTAATGATACAGTGGGGAAAAAAGTATTTAGTCAGCCACCAATTGTGCAAGTTCTCCCACTTAAAAAGATGAGAGAGGCCTGTAATTTTCATCATAGGTACACGTCAACTATGACAGACAAAATGAGGGAAAAAAATCCAGAAAATCACATTGTAGGATTTTTAATGAATTTATTTGCTAATTATGGTGGAAAATAAGTATTTGGTCACCTACAAACAAGCAAGATTTCTGGCTCTCACAGACCTGTAACTTCTTCTTTAAGAGGCTCCTCTGTCCTCCACTCGTTACCTGTATTAATGGCACCTGTTTGAACTTGTTATCAGTATAAAAGACACCTGTCCACAACCTCAAACAGTCACACTCCAAACTCCACTATGGCCAAGACCAAAGAGCTGTCAAAGGACACCAGAAACAAAATTGTAGACCTGCACCAGGCTGGGAAGACTGAATCTGCAATAGGTAAGCAGCTTGGTTTGAAGAAATCAACTGTGGGAGCAATTATTAGTAAATGGAAGACATACAAGACCACTGATAATCTCCCTCGATCTGGGGCTCCACGCAAGATCTCACCCCGTGGGGTCAAAATGATCACAAGAATGGTGAGCAAAAATCCCAGAACCACACGGGGGGACCTAGTGAATGACCTGCAGAGAGCTGGGACCAAAGTAACAAAGCCTACCATTAGTAACACACTACGCCACCAGGGACTCAAATCCTGCAGTGCCAGATGTGTCCCCCTGCTTAAGCCAGTACATGTCCAGGCCCGTCTGAAGTTTGCTAGAGTGCATTTGGATGATCCAGAAGAGGATTGGGAGAATGTCATATGGTCAGATGAAACCAAAATAGAACTTTTTGGTAAAAACTCAACTCGTCGTGTTTGGAGGACAAAGAATGCTGAGTTGCATCCAAAGAACACCATACCTACTGTGAAGCATGGGGGTGGAAACATCATGCTTTGGGGCTGTTTTTCTGCAAAGGGACCAGGACGACTGATCCGTGTAAAGGAAAGAATGAATGGGGCCATGTATTGTGAGATTTTGAGTGAAAACCTCCTTCCATCAGCAAGGGCATTGAAAATTAAACGTGGCTGGGTCTTTCAGCATGACAATGATCCCAAACACACCGCCCGGGCAACGAAGGAGTGGCTTCGTAAGAAGCATTTCAAGGTCCTGGAGTGGCCTAGCCAGTCTCCAGATATCAACCCCATAGAAAATATTTGGAGGGAGTTGAAAGTCTGTGTTGCCCAGCGACAGCCCCAAAACATCACTGCTCTAGAGGAGATCTGCATGGAGGAATGGGCCAAAATACCAGCAACAGTGTGTGAAAACCTTGTGAAGACTTACAGAAAACGTTTGACCTGTGTCATTGCCAACAAAGGGTATATAACAAAGTATTGAGAAACTTTTGTTATTGACCAAATACTTATTTTCCACCATAATTTGCAAATAAATTCATTAAAAATCCTACAATGTGATTTTCTGGAGAAAAAATTCTCATTTTGTCTGTCATAGTTGACGTGTACCTATGATGAAAATTACAGGCCTCTCTCATTCATTTGGATATCTTCTGGGTTAACCTATTGCATCTAAATATACATTGGGGTCATGTTCATATGCTCTTTTTACCCTTTATTACTATTCTGTGTGTCCCTATTTGTTGTTTTGTCTACCTCCCACTCTGATATAACCACCTCCTGAAGCATTTGTACTCTAGCACATATTCCCTTCCATCCCCTAGGAAAAGTAGCTCTAATTCTTTGTTCTCCACATACCCAAAATAAATCTGCCACTGCCACTGCCACCGATTGATCCTCATAAGGAAAAATCAATGGCATTGCCAGTGTTTGCTTCTCACATTCCCCAGAGTCACCAGGCCCTCCAGTAGTAGCTATTACTCCAGTACTTGATCCTGCTGCCTGATAAACTGCTCTGTGGGGGGTATCTGCATTCCAGGACATGTTATCACTACTTAGGTGCCATGTGGTCTCACACTTTCCCTTAAATTTGCCCAAATCATGCTCCCCATCCGTTTTGTTGTAGCATTCATAATCTTGATTATAATCTATACGATATTTTTCTGGTGCTTCCATTTTTCTGGGTTCTATTCTCATATCTATTTTTTTACACCACTCCCCCCATCCTGGTTGATTATAGAATCTGTAATGATAGGGATTTCCCAAAAATGATAAACACTCTGCAGGACAGTAGGGTCTTTCTCCTCTTTTAAGATGACAATAGCTTCGTTTAAAGTTAGCACATTGCTTGTAACTGTGTGGATTTGGTATCACTATCAATTATTTTAATGGAGAAGGAGCACATACTAAACAACTTGTTTTTCTATTAATTGTTTTAGCTGAATATTGTGCCCATTTGTACCAATAATTTTGCATTGCTCCCTCCCATAGCCTTCCTAATTTTGTTGGTGCTTTCATTATTTTTGGTATTACTGTTGGGGCTGAGGTAGATTGTCTATTTTCCTGATTTCCCCAATTAGTTAAAGAATCCCATACATTTTGAAAAAACCCAGTTGTTCCTTTTTTTTCTAATCCTGTCTTTGTTGGTTCAACTGCTATAGTAATTAGTGGTCCTTGGGTAGTGGTCATAGTTACATTAACTATTTCAGGTTCTTCTTCCTGTCTAGATTGGTGTTTGGAAATAGGATCAATGTCCTTTGTTGTTATACTATTCCCTTCTGACCCTTTAGTGCTAACTATTTCCAATATGTACTTTGCATTATTTTCTTGAGTCAATTCATTTAAGGTAATTTCCCAACTAGTGTCTCCTTTGTTAATTTCTATTTGGCAGCCATATTCATCCCAGATTGCTTCTCCTCTTGTTTGATGATTAGCCTGTGATTTTTCTGGCAGAGGTTTTATCCTTCGTATTGAAAAGGATTTTTGAGTTTCTGTAGCTGTCAGTACTTGGGCAGGAATAGAAATACTGGTTCCAACTATTTCCAAAGGTACATGCTTTTTTATTCTATTTCTGATTTTAGCTTCAGGAACCAATTTCTTAAATACTGATGAAATCATGAGATGTTTGGCTTGTTTTATATCCATTATTTTTCCATGTCCATTCCCTTTTAGCTCAACTTCTACACAATGATTTTTTTGGCATTTTATTTTAAACATTGCATATCCTTCAATCTGACATTTCCCCAATCTAGGCCATCCTGTGTACGATACTTGTTCTTTATTCACAACAACAATTCTTCCTGGCTCAGTAAGGCTGTCTCTAGAATATTGTATAGTTGTAGGCAGACTCACCACCATCTCTCCTAGATTAACTGCTATTACCGTTAGAGCAATTCCACAGTTCTTAAGTTGTCAGGGACCATGAGAGGGCAGAGAAGTCAATTGTGGGAAAGTCACTTGCCTCAATGACAGGGGAGTCTCTTTCTTCAATGGTAGGGAAGTCACCTCTCTCAGTGGTAGAAAAGTCACTTTCCTCTCCATCACCTGTTGCTCCCCCATTACCTGGGTCTTTGCTTGTGCTTGGGGTATGTGCCAGGACAGGTATCCTATCAGCAGTATTCCCCACATCATCAGGCCCCACCTCCCGACTCTCCAGATTTTCAGGAGGGAGTGCCTGCTATCCTTCGACGTTGGCACTTCTTCTTCTTGGACTCCATCTGGTGCCTCGACATCCTCCGCTTCCTCATGGCTCGCTGACGGCAGACCGGTTCTCTTCGGGACCCTGGTGCAGTAGTTCAGATGGTACCACGTCGTGCTTCCTTCCACCTGTATCGCCGTGGGCGTCGCTCGGATCACCTTGTATGGTCCTTCTCTCCTGGGCTCATTCCACTTTCTGCGAAACACTCGGA